AAACAAAGCTTACCTGTAAAAAGTTTTAATCCAATTTTTTTTAATCCAATTGTTTAATCCAACGACTTGCGGACGACGCCATTTTGCGAAAAAAACCAATATTCACCTATAGGTGAACATCGCTCAAACTCGAGCAATCAGCGCGCTAGAATTATGATATTCACTTATGAAATTATACTAATTATTGTTATTTTTAAAATGACCTGAACATTGACATTGACATTCAAATTTTCTCTTAATATTTTAAGAACTTATCCCTTTTTATATTTTTTATAACTTATATTCTGACTTGCATTAATATTATTATTGTAAAACATTCATTATTGTAAAATATTTTTTCATCCAACTTTTATAGATAAATAAATTGCATTTTGTTACTTAATAAAGATTATTTTTCTTATCTTTAGGTATCCAATTTATTATTGATTGTATTACTAAACTATTTCAGTAGACCACATCGTTGAAAGTCTTTTTATAATGAATTGATTTTTTTTAATAAAAGAAAACGAGATGATGACGGAAGCCGTGTAATATATATATATATATTTGAACAATTTTAAACGTGCTAAATGGCATGAATAATTAATCTCTATTTGCTTTAAACTGCTTTTTCCAGCTTCTATTTATGTTTTTAAAATAAGACTACATCGTAATACGCAAAAGCTTACTCTTTATTATCCCTTTATGCTCTATGATTGGAGATTTGCAAAAATTGATCTTAAAACCGACAGATGGAATTAGCAGATTACGAATGGATATTTGAAGTCACCTCAGTTATTTTCCATATCTGGGTATCAAATACGTGCAATAAATGCCGAATGGGCCTTTTAATCGTATGTAAAACCTAAAAATCAAAGCAAGCGATACATGAAGTAAATGAGCTTGTAAAGGTTCATAGCTAAATGACAACGATCACTTTCTTGTTAAATGTTGTTATATGACTGTCAGTTTCGTGCATGGAACTGCATGAAAACTGCAGTAACAAAATACAACCGTTATCACGATTTTGAAAACTAGATGAAACAGCATGAGCCAATTGGCTAGAACGAGTTGGCGAACCCGTTGTAGTCGGTTGGCGTGGTGTCCTAGTATAGTACTAATGTTTTTTATCTTTCTGAACCCGTTCTAACCATAGTTTAAAAAACTCATGAATAATTAATGAGGGAAACACAATAGAAATCACAACCGTGAAGAGTGTTGTAATATTTGATACAACACTGTCTTGATTTGCATAAACTTAAAATGTAATTTTCTCAGCCAAATTCAATTTTCTTTAAGGTTTTAGTAGATTATGAATGTATACACCTAAACGTTTCACAAGTTATTTACAACATTCGCGTCTGTGTTGTATGGGCTTAACAATCTCTCGCCTTCGGCTCGAGATTGTAAAATCCCATACAACACGGCCGCTCATGTTGTTAACATTACTTAGAACTACTAACTATGTTCTAACAGGTTGATTTTTAATCGGTTGTCAAACGGGTTGGTGAACCTGCTGTAACCGGTTGGTGACCAAGTGTAGTACTAGGGATTTTTTGCATTCCGAACCCGTTCTAGCGGGTTAAGACAAACCGTTGTAACGGATTACAATTTTTGCCATTTTTGTGGTGACACAGGCACGATTTTCGGGAATTTTGGGGTCAAATTAAAATAATGAAATACACTGTTAAACTATTTCTACTTGAATCCGATGTTCCTAAGAAGAACAGTTGTGTGTTTAACAACACTGCTCTGTAATCACTACCAGTGACATAAGGCGTGCAAAGCATGTATCCTAGAGTAACAATAAAGCACCTGACAAAATCAGGAAAACAAACGTGACAAAATCCACCTATTTCATCGGTTACAGCTCTGTGAACCGCGTTAGTCTACTGCGGAAGTAGACGATTCAAGATGTCTCAATTTTCATATTGGAAAATATTTGGTTGGTTACTAGCTTTCCTCATCGTGATAACGGTAAGTTGCGTATTGTTACTGCACTTTTCATGCACGAAACTAGTGATATTATAACAATATTTAACAAGAACTAAGTGATCATTGCCATTTTTCATGATCCTTTAAATTCTCATTTACTTCATCTCTCGGTTGCTTTCGTTTTGAGGTTTTGCACATTCGGCATTTATTGCGGTCCTGTATTTGATCTGTATTTGTTTTGTCTTATTTTAAAAACATAAATAGAAACTGGAAAAAAAAGCAGTTTAAAGCAAACAGATATTAATTATTCATACCATTGTTCAAATATATCACGTCAACACCAACTTATCGGATAAATATAGATTCAATTATTAGTGATCATGTCCGGTGTTTCAGCAGGCTCGTAACATTACACGGCTTCCGTCATCTCATTTTCTTTTATCGAAAAAAAAATCAATTCTCTATAAAAAGACTTTCAACGATGTGGTTAACTGACATAGTTTAGTAATACAATTAATAATAAATTGGATACCTAAAGATAAGAATTATTTTCTTGTGAATCCTTACAGTGCTCAGAAGCTTTTAAGTATCGTAAAGCAAAACACGCACATACGATTTTCAAGAATGTCACTTCAAGACATCATGACAAAAGGACTTCAAGACATCATGACAAAAGGACTGCACTTCCTGACTTGTTCACTAGAGATTTGCAAGCCAAGTGGCTCGCAAGATTGGGCAAAACTCTTTGCCTCGATATGTCTACATCATTGACGCCTCAGGCGAGTACAGCGTTTGATCCTAAAGCCGTCGTTCAAAGCCTGGTTGATCTCCTGAAAGAGGAGCCTGGAATCGACCCTAAATATTATGAAGGGATAGCCGAACTGAAGGATGACCCTGATTTTGAAAGAGTGACAAGACAGTTTGACGAGGCCGTCAGAGGAGAAAGAAATATGATCAATATTGGTAAGAGGTACCTTTCTCTGCCCCTATTTTAAAGGAAAACTAGTGAAATATAACCAGTATTTACTAACATCTTATTTGTCACACGTGCTATCTTTGACTTGTAACAGCACACACAAGGGAAAAAATCTTAACCACCAGTCTTAAGAATTGGTTTGGTAGAAAAAGAAGTCAACATAAAAAGTTGATACTGACAGTCACTGAGACAATACACACACCAAGTGTAGCTTAAACTCCATTTCTTGTAGGACGTTTTAAAATGTCCATTGTCACTACCGATGAATTTTAGAGATAAGTTTTCCCCTCCCGTGAAAAAAAACGATGAAATTGGCACACAATTTAATTCTGTTTAATGATATTGTGCTTTGCATGTCGTGTTACGGTGTCATGATTTGTGAGATTGCCTGCTAGAAATACCCGTTGTTTTGTGTCAAATACCTATAAATTTATCGTGGTTTAGAAATAGCAGTTGTTTCACCTAGGTGAGACGTAATATCGGGCTTGACTATTCAGGCAAGTCATATATTTATGTTATCCTTCATGAAACATATATTCACAATAATAACCGTGTTATTTGTCCATTTGCAAGTGTTATTACTAAGACGAGTACGCCACGAAAGATTGTTTCAAGGTCTCACGTCATGCCCCACTACCCTGAAGCTTAGCACGCCTGCCAAATCAATAATTCATTGGTCGATACGAGACATAAATTCAAATTCTCATTTTTTTTCCACATTTTTAGCTGAAAAATCAACGAAAATCATTATTTTTCTTTCAGCTGAGTGCTCGCAAAGGATGATGGTAGTTGTAGTCGTCGTACTTTATGTCCGCTATAAGAGTCCTACTAACCATTTTTTTGCTTTTTCTAAGCGAAAATAGAAGCATTTCAGTAAAAATATGATTGTTGCACCTAGGATTCATAATTAGTACAAATATCTAGTTGTCTCTAACGAATTCATTTTTGCATTAAAGAAGATTAGAGACCAGATCGAAACGTCTGAATTTTTACAAAATTAAGCTAGAAACAGCTTGATATTTAATTTTTCCTAAGAAAATAGAAGTATTTGTGCCATTTACAGAAACAAAATATAAAAACGGCTTTTAAATAATAATAATAAATTCTAACCCAACACTTAGACGGAGTGTTCTGAGTGGCATATTGCCGATTCAAAATTCACGATCCATTGCTTTATTTACAAAGGTTTGCTTATCCATTCCCAAATTGCCAGGCATTCATGTATAATAAAAGAAAAAGTTCTTTTATTATCCACGAGGAGATATTTCAGTCATTGTGAAACGTTTGAGTACTGCAACTACCATCATGCTAAAGCGCGCGAGAATTCACATAGGATACAATAGTCAATTGCTTACACACCTAATCACTTCTTTTCACATCATCAAAAACTTTTCCAGGAAAGGACTTACCGGAATTACAGACAACAGAATCTAATGGCATCTTAGATGTCGGTCTGAGAGGTGAAGTGATTACTGGAGAAGAGTCGGCGACAGAAAATGACTTGATAAGATACAGTAACTACATATCAGGAGCAGGATCAACCTTTGGTGGTACGATGGCTGGTCTTCCTCAAACTATAAAAGACCTAACAGAAGGTTTGATCAGTTTAGATGTGGTCTCTTCATAAACACTGTTAATTATATACACTAAGTAGAACAGCCAATTAAATGCCAGCGTGCAGCGAAGAACCTTTCCTATCATTTGTTTTGCGTTAAAAGTGATTTGTTGTTGAAAATTGCTGTCTGATTCTTTGAGAATCAAACATTTTTCGAATGTCTTATTAACGTAGCCTTTAAGATGGATAATCATACCGAGTCGGGTAATATATATCATAGTCGACTTCGATATGGTTCCCTTCAAGGAAATTTAGCAAAAGCTTGATTAACATCTAACAAAACCCATACCATGACGCATAATAGAACTTTACAATGTCATTAATTGATCACTTAATCTAAATTTCAGTATTTTGAGCAAGATGACTCCATGCGATTCAAAATCAAGCCGCCACTGGCAACATAGTCCAGTCCCAGCCCCTTTTCGACCCGCTCGGTTAACGGTGCTCTCGCGGGGAAGAGGGTCCAGAAGAACTTGCATGCGCATGCGCCGCCATACACCGCATATATACGGTGTCATGGTGGCCAAAGATTTTTCCTTCGTAAGAGAAGGGACAACAAATGATAATTTTAGCGAATACGCATCAAAATTCGATTCTGATTTCATATCAGCAGTAAGATATGCTCTCGAGTCAAGAGCGTTAAGACTTCAAACCAAAGTCAGAACAAATGGAAGCTTGGTTTCATCTGTCGAAAGGTAGAGATGAGTTCGTCCGTTTGAGTACTACTGGATTTGGCAAATCCTTTTTATACAGTTTGTTTCCGTTGATATGTGACATCTTTCGTGGTTGCCGTTCATCTATAGTATTGGTGATTTCTCCTTTTATTTCTCTGATAAATGCAGCCAAATTTATAGTCGAAGTGAGAGACGGAGATTTCACCGACTGCAATGTGTTAAAGTTGATCCCCGAGAGTTTCAACTCCAGAGAGGTCAAAGACAACATGAAAAACTTTAAGATAACATCGTATGTGTTGCTGTCGACGAAGCTCACTGCATCGAACAATCGTAATTATTTCAGTTAAATGTTGTTTGTAAATGTTGTGTTCGACCAAGTTTGGTTAATCTTCTACAATCATGTAAATAAATTCGATATTATCTTCATGTGAAAGATTATCAAG